ACGCTATTAGGGGCTCCTGGCATCGTTACTAGGAACAAGAAGCTACTGGGAGCAAAGGGCATCGCTACTTACTTAGAAGTCGCGTTGAAGCTCCGTCCGAAAGGAACAACCACATTCTCACTTGCACTCTCTCTGTCCTTCTGGAACGGCCTGGACATAAACGCCGCTGAAACGGGGCGCCCGACTCGTCAATGTGATCGACAAGCAAAGCACCATCTTCTTGGTTCACCTTCATACAACTATTGCTGTGTTAGGATCGGGGTATATAAATCCAAGAGCTACAACCTCCAAAAGAGGTAAGGTCGGAAATTACTCTTGGCGGAAATTCGGAAATTGACAATGAACAATTTATTAGTTATCTTAGTTTTGTGACAATTGTTTATATTTTTGTGAACAGATTGGCAGAACTTTGGAAAGTAACAATTTCTGGATTTCTGGAACACGTCAACTTCTGACGTGTGATTGTTGGCTTCTCAGAGAGCTAGGCTTTGTAGGGCCTTGGATGTGTCTAGGTTCTGACCATTTGCAACATAACTTCCATCATAATGCCGAGGTCCCATCTCTTTTGCAAATATCATCTCTTGGCAATCTCTAGGAGGGGGCCCACACATGGCACCTCTCTGAGAGCGTGGATTGTGCGCGCAGCTCGAAGAATCAAGATTCGTCAACCGTAGTCAACAGAAGGAGAATGCGCTCAAATTTATCTGCAGCAGACCTCAAGGCAAAATATTTTGAGAATGGAGTGGGATCACCCCTTCCTCTAATGATCCAGCCTACTTGGCCAGGGCATCAACAAACGCAGTTACGGACCGGCACATTGATACATTCCTACTGTTACTTTGCAGATGGTGCAAGTGTTCAGCAGCACCCCTTGCCACGTTTCCTATCGTGACCGCGAACCCAAATCAAACGTTTACTGGAAAGACAACTGTAGCAAATGTGGCGTAATCAAACATCTTCAGGGCAAAGTTATGTCTGTGCATCATGTTTCTGCAGGTTACTGATGGTTACTGTGGTCTACCGCAAAAACCAGTGCCCAACTTGAGAAAGGGAAACATGAACGGTAGAGATGTACCAGATGTTCTGTAGACCACACACCGCCCCTGGGTAGCTGGGATGGTAGTAGGACGGGTCCACCAGAGGATGTGGAAATGAGTGATGTCCCTTGCTACAGCGTGGCTTCAACCGGTACCCGCTTTATCGAATACCCGCAAGTTTTGAGGGGCTTCCACCGGTGAAAATACCCAACAGGTAAAGGGAAAATGGACCGGATCCCCAAACTGTACTCTTGCTTCGTCCACAGGTTACGGTCACTTGAAGTTTGTCAGCGCCGCTGTGCGTAAGGGCTGCCTAGTGCTAACGCTCCGGTGTGTAGAGCTGTATGGTGTGTAAATGTGGCATAAAAGCTCGGGCGATTAAAGTGTCCAATGTGAAGAAGGGCGTTATGTCAACCCTGTGCTGCGTGAGCATTGCGGTGCGTTGAAAGCTG